CAGCACTGCAGAGTAAAAGCCAACATTTTCCTCTTAATCTCGAGTATTTCTTTTTCCCTTACTGGTCCCAGCTGGGAATCCTCGCTTCAACAGAAGGAAAGGCGTGTGTGTGTGTGTGTGTGTGTGTGTGTGTGTGTGTGTGTGTGTGTACAGATCTGTCAGAGGGCTATTTCCTCAAATAATCTCATCCTATTCTTCCCCTCTGGATTAAAATGAGAACAAATGACATCTAAGCCTTGACTGATTGGCCCATGGGAGTGAGGGGGCTATACCAGAATAAGAAGAGTCATTTCTGTCTCCAAGGGCCTGGATAGCTCTCTTCCTTGGGGTGGTGGCGGCTGGGGATGTGTCTGGAAGCTCCTTGTACAGGAGGCAGTTAAGGCTCTTTCTTAGAGCCAGTGCTTTTTTGGGGTGGTTGAGGGAAGGGAGGGATGATGGAGGTCTTAGGACAGGCACAGCCACTGTGCACATTTGCAGCCCCAGGGCCCCAGCATTGTTTGTGTTTGTTTGTTTGTTGTTGTTGTTGTGACAGAATGCCTGAGCAAATAAGGTAGGGAAGATCCACTTCGGCTCGTGGTTTCGGGGGTCCCAGAATCACTTGGCTCTATTGCTTGTGTGCCCTCGGGTGGTGAGGAGGAATACCACACTAGGAAAGCATGGCTGAGGAAAGCTGCTCACCCCACAGCAGCCAGGAAGCAGGAAGAGGAGAGAAGGGGGGGGCAGGAACAGGACACCTTTCAAAAGTTTGCTCCTCAGGACCCTTTTTCTCCAACCAGACCCCACCTCCCAACAGCCCATTCAGTGTGAACTCCATGTGTTAACCTGTTGATCTCAGTGTCTTGGTGATCCAGTTACCTCTCAATCGGTCTCTAGCAGGGGACAGCCTCGACATGTGAGCCTCTTTGGGAGACACTTCATATTGAAGCTGTAACAGGGGCTGTGGGGTGGGGTGTCCTATCAACACTGCCCTTCCTTCCTTCTGCAAACAGAGATGCAAGTGTGTCCAGCTGTTCTCTCAAATGGTAGTTTATGATAATTTCCAGATCATACAAGTCAGTCTAATATAGTCCATAGGGGACTTCCAGAAACCTCTGGTATACAATTTCAAGAATGTTTTACAGAACTCTGGCGAGACTATGAGGGAATATCAAGGCTGGGGTGTGTTGGACACTGCCTTCCATGACTTGATACTGCATCCATTTTGGGTCCTCCAAATCAGGGTCTTACCATGTATCTCAGGCTGGCCTTGAACTCACGATCCTCTTGACTCCACTTCCTGAGTGCTAGGATCACAAGCCTGTACCACCACATCTGGCTTTGGAAAATTCTTTTTAATCCTAGCAGCGTGCAGCTCAAGAGAGCCCTTGTTCATTATTAGATGTGAGGATGCTGGTCTGCTAGCCTTCCTTCCCAGTCAGCCCCCAACGATGAGCCTGTGGGGCCAATGGCTCTTCCGCAGTCCAAGAGGCACAGCACATCCATGATTCGGCTATAGGAACAGAACATTTCCAATGTTTTTCCATCTCATTCTGACCTAATCCTCTGGCATATCTGTGACAGGTGGTGTGACTCAGCCTGATAGCCAGCCTCTGATGGAGCAAGAACAAGTGTGTGTGTGTGTGTGTGTGTGTGTGTGTGTGTGTGTGTGTGTGTGTGTGTATTGTGAAGCTGTATTTACTTTTTATAAGTAGAAAGTTGGTATGGGGAGATGCCCCAGTCAGTAAGGCGCATACACACAATGACCTGAGTTCAGTCCCCAGCACCCATGTAAAAAGAAGCGCTTAGCAGCAGGTGTCTGTGATCCCAGATTTGGGGAGGTGGAGACAGGAGGATCCCCAGAGTTCACTAGCCTGCTAGTCTAGCCTCCCCGGTGAACTCCCAAGTTGAGGGAGAGACCCTGTCTCAAAAATAAGGTGGAGAGTGACTGAGGAAGACACCTGACGCCCACCTCTGGCCTCCACATCTGTATGTGCATTACTTTGGGCGTGTCCACAAAGGCGAGACAGGAGGAAAGTGCTGCATGAGCCTGAGCATGGATGGGGATGGTCTGGGGAGGAAGCAGTTCAATAGACAAAGGTGAGTTCCTTCTCCCTTTCATTAGCAGGGATACTGTTCTTGTGTGCTGTGGACACCAGAAATCCAGGTCTGTGCCCTCTGGTCTCTAGGACGTGCATGTAGTCCCCAAGGTCTCAGGCCTTAGCCTTGAGTCAAGAGGGACACACACTGGTTTCCCAAGTTTCTCAGGCTCGGACAGCTAAGTACTAGTTTTCCCAGGGGCTCCAGGTTACACGTTGCCTGTTGGGGAAGCCTCGGTCTGCCCGGTGACATGGGTCTGTTCCCCCATTTTCCATCCATGCATGCATGTGTCGTCTAGCTATGCTCGACACAGAGATGGTGCCTTCTCTCTGGAGAAGCCCAGCTGAAGCCCAGTGTCTAAGATTCCAGTTGACTCCCAAGCCGGCTGTGGATGGTGGCGAACCTCTCTCTATGACACTCTTCAGGTTGCTTTACTGGCTGCAGAAACACCCCGCGTTTGCTGCCATTTGAGGGATGCACTTTGAGGCTCCTGCCGCCCCTTTCCATCATTCCTGGGTACATGGCTCCATCCTTTCACTCTAACTCATGTGCTCTCCTATTTCAGTTCTGGTCACAGCATCATCCACACCAGAAGGTCCACGCGCTGGACCGTTTTCAAAACTCATCTCCTGCATCCCTGCCAAAAACCCCATGATGCTGGAGAAAGCCAGTTACTGTCTCTTTTCTTAAATCAAGAAGGAAGGAAAGTTTGGTGACTGGACACTATCACACAATCACACAACTGTGGGTCCAGGAGCAGCTGACTGGCTTAGACCTAGTATAGTCCCATGGTGGGGCATGGGAGAGGGCTAGGAACTTTAAGACAGACATGTTGTGGAACGTTATTTTAACATACATTACATTTGTTTATGCTGTGGAATATTTGTTTAATGATGCAAAGGTGTGTTGCATTCTTTTATGCTGCATTTGTTTCACTCTGTGAAGCTGTGTCCCTTTGTCTAAAACACCTGATTGGTCTAACAAAGAGCTGAACAGCCAATAGCTTGGCAGGAGAAAGGATAGGCAGGCTGGCAGGGAGAATAAATGGGAGGAGAAATCTGAGAAGCGAGAAGTAAGAACAAGGAGAGGAGGCCAGCCACCCAGCCACCCAGCCACCCAGCCACCCAGCCACCCAGCCAGCCACAGAGTAAGAGTGAAAGTAAGATACACAGAAGTAAGAGACAGGTAAAAGCTCAGAGGCAAAAGGTAGACAGGATAATTCCAATTAAAGAAATCTGGCTGGAAATAAGCCAAGCTGAGGCCGAGCATTCATAAGAAAGAACAAGACTCTGTGTGATTTACCTGGGAGCTGGGTCACGGGTCCCCCTAAGAGCCAAAGAATGAAAACCCAACAACTACACAGACATGTGATCTAGACGAAGCAGTTATTGAGAGGAAGAGTTGTAACAACTCCCAGCCCATCTGCAGCACACACTTTTTTTTTTCTTTTCCAGTTTCTGGCAGTGCTGGGCATTGAACTCAGGGCCTCACACGTGCTAGGCAAGCACTCCACCATATTTTATATTTGTATGTCTTATATCTCCATTCACATTTAGAGAAAAGGCACTGACATCTCACAGTGAGTATAGACGCAGCGGTCGAGTTAAGAACATCTGCAATGCTTAGAGCAAATTTAAGGGTCAAACGTCTGCCTAGTCTGTTTAATCTTACTCCCTAGTCTAAACCCCTGCCCTGGGTGAAATCCAGAGCTACAGCAGTTGGTACCTAAGGCACAATATCAGTACTTGATTGAAGCTACATGTTTTTTTTTTTTTTTCCCCTACAAAGGAACAGGTTTGGAAGTCAATGTAAACTGATCAATGAATTGTGATTATTCTGAAATTTTATTTTGGGGTCCTGTGTCACAAAATGACATGTGTAATGTTTGCAATGGGTATGAGAAATTGAGATGTTTTTATTTCTACTATTTGAGAATAAAACTGTAGATAATGTTCCAAACTAGCATCAAAAGAAAAAAAAAGGCGGAGCAAACTTTTCTGTATACAAACTGTACATAAAACAAGGCACTATACATTTCTGGGGGAGATATTAAGGTAGAAAGGTTGATTCGCATAGATTCTTCAGAGTCCACACCGGGAAGTAAGCCTTTGTTCGCTTTAGCACCGGAAGCAGAACTCAGCACAAGCCGGACCGAAGGCTGAAGGAGGCACTCCTGGGGGGGGGGGATGGGGGGACGGGATGGACGACAGCCTGGAGGCAGGTCCTAATGCAACAGAAGCGACTCTATCTACCTGGTAATATTGTTTTGACACCGAAGGAAAAAAAAATTGAAAGTGAATGAATACATATTGCTTTGTTAAATACATATTGGATTTATACGGTGTTTATATAAATATATATATATATATTTAGAATCCACAAACTATCAAAATAACACTTTATAAAGAGACTTGCTTTAAAAAAGGTAATGCCGAGCTGGAACAGGAGAGTAGGGTCGCAGCGGCCGCTGAGGCAGGGCTCGGCTGAGTGAACGGAAGAGATGCCTTTCTCAGTTTACCTGAACCATGGAAAAGAGCCGTCCCCAGAGTTCTCCCACACATTTACAAAATGCTTAACTCCCAGACAAGCCATCGAGTTAATAAGGTCAGGTTTGGAAAAACTCTGATTCAAAAATACTTTCTTCTTTGACAGAAAAAAAATAGCAGTCAAAAAAAAAAAAAAATCCGTTTTCTGGTCTAGAGGCACCAGAAGTGATCTCTTGGCGGTGCCTGTCATTGCATCCTCAGAACAGGCCCTTAGCTTTCTTCAGGTTCACTTGCTTCCAGGTGGGCAGTGCGTTGAATTCATCTCTGGTCATGTCGAGTGCAAACTGGAGGAAATGTGAGAGACGCCCCGTGAGTGGCCGAGTGAAAGGATGCTCACGCCAGTGTGCCATCACCATCCCAGCCAAGGGCCACTCACCTCAAAGTCTTCATCTGTGAGATAAATCTCAAGCTTTAGAGGGTCTACTCCCTCTGGGAGTGGCCTGGCAAGCAGATCTGCCAGTGGATAGATGGTTTTACAGAGCTTGGCTAGGACATCTTCCACCAGGGTGATCTGGTTGGAAACTTCAGTATCCTGGAGAGAGGGAGCAAGAGGACATTTGAGTAGACTCCTGCTATCTATGGGGAGTTTGCAGACCACCAGCTCTGTCCCATGTGGGCACAGCCTGGTCAGGAGCATGGTATCACTCCACTGTGGAGAGGGGACTCTAACTATCCAGGAACTACCTCCTGACCTTCAGAGCTTTTCTCCCTCTGCCAACTTTCAAATCAACCCTGTGTTTGAACTGCTTATGAATGAATGAATGAATGAATGAATGAATGAATGTTTAGAGACTTAGCTTACCTATGAGTGAACAGCAGAGAAGGATTATTGGATCTGAAATCAAAACATTAGATGCTTCTACATAGTGGAATTTGTTTAACAAATTTTAAAATAATTAAGCTAAAAAGAAGTCATGCCCTTTCCCTTTCCCCCAGGTTCCATTTCTTAATCTACAATGAGACACAAAGAAGGTAAAGGTAGAGTAATGCATAAGGCCCTGGGTTATGCACACACACACACACACACACACACACACACACACACACGAACGCACGCACGCACGCACGCACGCACGCACGCACGCATGCGCACACACACAAATGCATGCATTCAAGCCCGTGTACATGCACACACACAGGGGCGGGTTTTCTGGGAAAATCATCTCCATCTCTTATACTTGGATCTGGGAAGTGCTGCCCTCCCTTTGGGCAGTTGGATGGTGACCGAATGAGTTCAAGTTACTGCCAACTTCAGCAATCTATGGGGCAGAATCTTGGAGGAGAGGTGGGTGCTGCCTGAGCCTACTGGCCTGTACCTATGGACCACTACTCTCTTGGTGACTCAGAGATTTGAGGCAAGTGTTTTATGCCTCAGCTCCTACACTGGTAAAGTGGGAACAATAGTAAGATGAACATTAATATACTGTCCTGGTAATTAAGTGAGAAATCAAATGTAACATGCTTAGTGCTGGACCTCGCCAGAGCAGTACACAGTGAGTTTTAATTTCAAGCTTGCTCAACATTATGCAGTACCCCCCAGCCCCCCAAGCCTGATGAGCTACAGTGAATGCAGAAATACGAGGGCAACCCCTGTTTTGGCTTAGGCTCCATGAGGCAGCTGCAGTGCTGGGCTCTGAGATCCCCATAGTGTGAATTCCACATATTGTCACTCTAACTAGGGATTGCTATGAGCCGCAGAAATATGAAGTAGGAATTCAGCTGACTATGGCAAAAGCTATTCCAGAAGATAAAGGCAAGTCTTAAGGAGTCTTGGTGATATTGGCTTTTGAATATTAGCCATTTCCTGCAATGAATTTCTCATGTGCTATTGTAGCTTTTCTATTCCTAGAACAGTGTTTGATCATCCATTGGGCACAGTTTCCCCTATACAACTAAAGACTTTGGATAACATCTCCCAACTGTGCTAACAGCAGTCACACAGCAAGATCCCTAATTTCAGGCCTTTTTGTAATTATCATCAGCAACATCTGGCCAGGACCTTCTCTGGACGAAAGTATCTTATCTGAGATACTTCCCAGACTTTCTAAGAACAGACTGCAGATAGATGGCATCCAGACTATCTGTTAGAGAAGGCCAGGCAGATATGGTTATTAAGCTTAACCCTCCTCTCTTCCAAGTGCTATCTATAGCTCTAGATCTCTTTTTAACAATTAACTCAGAACGATGGGCTTGCATTTACCAGGTACATCAAGCTGTGACTCAGGTTGCCTAGCTACCGAGTGCACTTCCCCTGCCCTGCCAGAAAATGGCATAGCCAAAGGAAGATAAGCTTGGACAAACTTTGGCACCAAAGAAAAGTAAGGCAGTTTTCTTTTCACCTGTGACTTAGCGAATTATAGGCTCTTAACATTTTAACTAACCACTTCTAAGAATATACTTCCAGCACATAAATTCCCTTCTAACTGAATTTAGCCCTCAGTTGATTCTATTCTCCATTAGTCACTTCTCTTTTGGGTTGCTATGATAGCTGACAATTACTGTTCTTTGTGTGAATCTTATTGGCCCTCCTTTTGACCCTATAAGAATTCAAGCCTGTGTGACCTTGTCTTGGCCAGAGAATTGCTGCTTTGTATGGGTAAATAACTGAAAACCTCAGAAACTTGGGAGGACTATATTAGGAACTAGAAGAATGAGATGGAAGATGAGGAAGAGCCAGATGGGGGAGAACTATATGGGAAAGATCTAGATGGGGTAGAATTACGATAGGAGAATTAAGATAGAACTTAAAGAGAAGAGCAGGAATTGTAGAGAGAAATCAGGCAAGAGAGGAGCTAAGTATGAAAGCAGAAAAGAAGCTGTAGAGAGAAAACTGACTCAGAAGAATAAAGTGAATGGACTAAAGAGTTTCATGTATGTAGATTTATTTGTTATAAGGGAGAATATGGGTTTGTTTTTCTGAGTTTGTGTTAACCTGATTAATACTATATGTCCAAGTCCATCCATTTTCCTGATTACATTTTCTTTAGAGTGGAATATTTTTCCATTATGAATATGTACCACATCTCTGTCATCTATTCACCTGTTGATGGACATTTAGGCTGGTTCTATTTCCTAGCTATTATGAATAGAGCAGCAATAAACATAGATGTGCAGATATCTCTGTGGTGGGAGATGGAGTTTTTTGGGTATATGCCCAGGAATGGTATCGCTGGGTCATATAGTAGGTCTATTTTTTTTTTTTTAGGAACTTCCTACTGATTTCCATAATGTTATAGTAATCTTCACTCCTACCAGCAGTGAATAAGGGTACCTCTTCTCCAATATCCTTGCCAACATTTGTGGTCGGATTCTTTCCTTCCTTCCTTCCTTCCTTCCTTCCTTCCTTCCTTCCTTCCTTCCTTCCTTCCTTCCTCCCTCCCTCCCTCCCTCCCTTCCTTCTTTTCTTTTAAGAAACCAAATAAGGGTTTTATTTATTCACTTAATTAAACATTTTTTTTTGTTTTTGAGACTTTCATACAATATATTTTGATCATATTTTTGACTGGGGCGAGGTGGTATCTCAAAGTAGATTTAGTTTGCATCTCCCTAATGACTAGGGATGTGGAAGACTTTAAAAAAAAGTTATTGGTAATCTTTTGAGAGCTGTCTGCTCATCCCAATAGCCCCATCTGGTAGTTTTGTTTCTTTGACAGTTAATTTTCTAAGTTCTTTGTAAATTCTGGATATCAGGTCTGTCCCCCCTGCACCCCCCAAAAAGCAGCTTTTTCTTATAGAGTAACACAATTAAAATGGAAAATTCCTACTTCCCTGAATTAAAACAACCCTTGGAATTTCTATTGCTAGTGAAGTTAACTCTTAAATTAAAAAAATTCTACACAGCCACACTAAGCCTCCAAGTGGGGAACAAATGTATGTTTGGTAGGCAAAGTGATGAGGACCATCTCCTATATGCTGTGTGACACTGTGGCTGCAGGAACACCGTGAGATGGTCACAATGTGCTCCCTCCCTTGGCTACCTGAGCACATTCCTTCCTGTATTGAAGCCTGTGTCTCTTCCACGAGAGCTTAATCTGAGGGGACTCGGCTGTGCATTCCACACACCCTGAGAGGCAGTGGGCTGGGTGCCAATCGAAGAGGCAATAGCAGCTTTTATTTGTGTCTTTGCTTGTATTTAAACCCTGAAAATTGCGTGTAGAAAATGATCAGACTGCGTCCACTGTTTCCCCATTAGGCTTCTCCTCCTAAGCCAAGTCCAGGAAGCATAGGAAGCACACTGCAATGGGAAAAAGTGTGTCCCCGCTTTGTTTGCAGGGTCTTGGCATATAGTCCAGGCTAGCCCAGAGCTTACTGTAAAGCACAGGCTAGCCATCAAGTGCTAGGATTATAGGGGTATGTCATCACATCCCACAGTTTGTTCCCACATCCAGAGTGCAGTCTGATACTTCTCCCTCTGGTGGCGCCACCCAGTGCAGAGGCCAGCGGAGGCCTGGGGTGGGTAGTGGGGCCGGGGAGCTCACCATTTCTGTGATCTCCGCAATGTCCTCTCTGTGCTCCCAGCTGGGAAACATGTTGGTGAACGTCAGGGGCTCTAGCCCAGCATGGATAAGGTAAGACTTGGGGGGTGGCCTTTTGAGATTCTTTCCTGTAGGGATGCAGAATGCACATGTCAGTGGACCCGAGGAGCCTTTCCTCTCCGTTTTTCCTTTTTTTTTTTTTTTTTTTTGTCCCATTTTCCATCAGAACACTGACTTTCACATTTAAAATGTGGATTGTGAGTCATTCATAACAATGCCTGGGTGCTGCTTTACCTGAGAGGCGACTCTTATGCTTATCTCTTTCACACAGATGTGACATCGACCTGACCCCCCTACTTTGGAACCTGACAAAATGTTTCTGGACCCCTAGGGGGGCAGAAAGCTCTCCTGGGAACTCCCACCAGGCACATCCGCTTCCCTTTCATCTGTCTGTGGCGGTTTCCCCTGAGCAGGACAAGCTTCAATGGCACGTGACAGCCAATGACAGCATCTTCCAGGTGCGGGTAAGCCTTTTAAGGTTGTTCACAAAGAGCTTTCCGCGGAAAGAATGGACTGTACACACTCAGGTGTGTACAGTAAGCGAGCCAGCAAAATGTCAACATGCAGACAGGGCATTAGTTACTGGCGTCTACTTTACGTAAAAGGCCACAGATTTCATGTGGATGCTAGCTAAGAAACCAGGGATTTACTATGGATTTTTTTAGTTTTGTTTTATTTCTATTGTTGGCTACAATACCAAAAGAAAGGCTGGCACTGGCTTGTAGCCAGTTCGAGCGCATTTCTGTTCTCTAATGCAGGCACTGCCTGAAGAGAAAGGTGAGCCGTGGAGGCCACCCGGCTACTCACGCCTATGTATCGAGGGGTCTCAGTGCCCGCGACGCCAGTGCGGGCGGCTCCACAATGCACCGTGTGGGTAGCCTCATCACGTGAGAGAGAAACATGGACTCTTTGTTCTGGCAGCAGAGAATGCATTGATCCTAACACTGACAAGCCTCTAGCAGTTCAAGGGGCAGAGCTGGAGCCGTCTCAAGGCTGGTGGCATCTCAGAAGGGACAAGGCAGGGCCCGTGGTGGCTCTCCGGCCCCTCCCTTTGGCTCTCACCTCGGCAGTACTGCAGGACGGTCTCCATGGCGCTCTTCCGGTCTGAGGCCCAGCGAATGCGGGCCGAGCCGGTTATCTTGTTCTCCGTGGGCCACCAGCCTTGCCAGAGGTACACCTCGTGGTGATTGTCAACCAGGAAGAGTGCTGTGAGGTAAGGGCAGAACCAGGCCATGAGGTACACTCCTTCACAGACCTTCCTGGGGATCCCTGCCCCAGTAGACGCCTTGCTGCTGTCCCAGCTGTCCCCAAAGCCCTCTCCCCGAAGTTCAGAGTGATGAGTCCCTGGAGGTTCCTGCACACTCCGCCCTCTTGTGTTAACCTCTGAAGGCCCCTAGCAGGACAAGGAGGAGACCCAAAGAAAGGTCTCTTGGTTTCCTTCCTTTCCCAGCTCAACCAGAGAGTGCTGGCAACCCTTTCAGACATCACTAGAACCTTGCTGCCAGCCACCTCTGGTCTCTGTGGAGCTCACATCTGGCTTGCTCTTCACTCCCATGATGCTCTGAGTAGTAATGGTTCTTCTACAGGAAAGTGAATTTTAGGCAGAGGTCTCCTGTCTCTTCCTCCTTGTCTTCAAGCCTCCACCTGACTCTAACTCTATGTGGCAAGTGCTCTCCAACTTGACAGCTCAGTGGCACCGAGGTCCCTCCTGATGTGCGTTTTGGGACTGCTTTAAAAGCCCGTCGGTGTTGATGTTGATGATCCCCCCAGAGCCCCGGGAAGCAAGGGCAGGGAGTCGCTTTCTTTTTTAGGTACTCGTGGCTGCTGCCCAGTGTGATTGTAAGCATCTGCCAAGCTCTGAGCTGGTGGTAGGGCAACTGTGGTAAGACGAGGCACTGGGCTGCAGCTCCAGGATGTGGACCAACTACGTGCTCAAGGGCTTGATTGGCAGGAAGTGGGAGGGCCTACAGAGCCCATTTCCTTTGTATAGGTTTGGGCATTAGGGCACGGCTTTTGGGAACACTGCTGATCTTGGAATTGGGAGATCTAGTCTGCAGTCTTAATTCTGCTGAGAGCTTTCTTTCCCAGGTCCCTTTCCTCAGCCACTTGCTTTCCTAGGTTCCTTGGCAGCTGGAGTGGCCACATGACATCTTCTGGCCAATGGGAGGAAGCAGAAAAGCTGGAGGTCCCTAACGAACTGCCCCCTTCCCGTTTCCCCAGTTTCAAATAGAAACATGAGGGGTGGAGCAAGGGCAGCTCACAAGGGACCATGAAACAGGAAGCTGGAGAGGAAGGCTGGGCGAATGGCAGGGATGCCGGATGGTCATCTGTCAACTGGCTCTTTGGATGTAGGAAGTAACTGAGTTCGGGTCCTGATACAATGCTACGTGGCTGACTTTGTTTTCTTCTGCGGCGGGTGGATAAAAGGAGATGTCCTACGCAACTACACTAGCAGTGTACTTGGCAGATAAGAACTCCTTAAAGAGAAAGGGCAAGAAAGGCTTCCGGGAGGGCGCTAGGCAACCCCAGCACGCCCCCTGCAGGCCTCACCTGGCTGCGGCGCGCTGTACAGATCCTCTTGCAGGAAAGGCATGGAGCTGACGGCAGAGGGCGCTCGCGCGGGGTACACGAACTCGGTCGCCGAGAAGTCTCCGGAGGAGCTGCTGAGGATGAACAGGCGGGGCGCGAAGTTAAAACTTCCAGGATCTTCCAAAGAAAAGAGAACAAAGCTGAGGACACCGTATGCACCAGCTTCCGCATGGACTGACGGCAAAACGTGAAACGACTCAAAGAACTGTGGAACATAGGCAGGGTTTGGTTGATATCCGTTTCTGATGGGGAATTTTGTTTTGTTTTGTTTGTTTTTGCAGCGTTGGAAAATACTTCCTTTTGTTAATTTCTGTTAAGAAAGAAAGCTGGCCCAATGTCTTGGAGGACACTGGGTGATATAGGAGTCACATGTCTAGGAATTTACCTTAATCATGGATAAATAATTATTTTTAAGGGTATACCAACTACACTAGACTATTGTACCATACAGAACATATTGGACATCACTCCCCAGATACGGAGGATGGCTAGGTAGAGTGGAATACATTGCAATGCCCTAATACCACTAAGGTCTCAGTGGCAGCAAGGTGGTCACCGAGGCAATACAGGGAGAGACTGGCTTACAGGACAGTCATCCTGGTTGTCTTTTTATTGAGAAATGCATAGGAAGTACAGGAACACATGAATTCTGGTTAGCTGAGACACATGACTTGCTGCTCGACAGAGATGGTTAATAGAAGGAAGTTTGTTTTATGGTTTGTACGATTATAATCATGTCTGTTTTAGGGAAAGTCAGGAAGGCACCTGTTCACACCCCTTTACTTCAGTCTGGTGAGTGGGGACAGCCAATCTGAAGTCCGCACATGAAGCAAAGGAACTGTGTGCTTAGATTTGGGTCCCATCCCCAAGATATCCCAATTTTACAAAATCCAGAAAGTCTTCCAGCTTCTGGACTGGGTGGTCCCCCATCTTGCACTCACACACCCCGCCAGCCACTCTGACCTCTACTGCATTCCGGGTCTCCTGGGATTTGCTTCCTTCTCCTCTCTTGACCCCCGTAACATCCCACTGATCTAGTCCTGTGTCTTGTGTGTTCTCTTTTTATCTACTGCCTTGTAAATGACAACAAATGCTTATGAATTAGCTCCTAGGCCATGAACATCAAATCCCCAAACCACGCCTACATTGCGCACACCTATTTCACTCTGTCCTTTGCGAGGATTGGGTCCCCTTTCCTCACAGGGATCTATGAGCCCCTAAAAGGTTAAGATCAACTGAACGAAGGCCGTGGGTCCCACAATCCTTCCTTCTGCCTGCCTCCTTTGGCACACTCAAGGTCATGCCATTCCATGATGGCCTCTCCTGTCCATCCCTGAGTTTCAGGTTCCAAGTTCATAAGCTGCTGATAACTGTCACATGCTCATGTCTCATAAAACATCTCCCAGTAGGCATCGGACATCAGCCATTGCCTTCGAAGCCTCCCTTTCCAGCCACAGCTGCTGAGAACCCACTGTCTCTGTATGGCCTGGGACTTGCTGCTCAAGATTCTCCTGGTCTGGTCGGGACAACTGTCTCACTGGGGTGCCCACTGCTTCCTTCAGCCTGGATACTGGTCAAACCCAACAGCTTGTCATGCTTCTGCTCATCTAGTTTCTCAGACTTTCCTTCTCCTCTGGTCAAGTCATACCAGCCTCAGAGGCACTGTGCAAATACCATCTTCCCATGGGACTGTGGATGACTTCTCCTGCTGGGAAAAATCCTGTCTTTTCCAGGCTCACAATCTTTCATGACTCACAACTTCATTTGCATGAAAATGAGTCACATACAGTGTGTGGCTTAGCTTCCCTTTTAGAAGACGTCTGTCCTCTGGGAGACCTATCCCTTGGTTTTATTTACTGTGTGCTGTACAAAGCATATGCTGTGGGAGCCCATTCTGGGGTTCCTCGTGGCTTTACCCAGCAGGTCCGAATAGAGGATGATCAGGACCACGGGCCTGAGTGCAGGTGTCTGAGATGGCCTGCACTTGGCTGTGCTGGGGAGGAGGTCTTTTGCTCCACCCTTGGCGTCTCTATAAAAACCCTGGACCAGAGACAGTCCGGGCCCGTTGGAATAGGTTCCAGGCCCTCTCGAGGCTATCCTTTATTTTCTATCTGTTTATCTCCACAAGATTCTCCACTATAAATCCTCCTATCTAATATTTCCTGCTATTCGCACTCAAGAAAACTCTGGGAAGCTGTGGGGGTGGTGGGTAAACGCCCCACAATATGCTCAGAAAATCTTTGCATATGTGTGTATGTGGTATACATGTACATGTGAATGCATGCATGTGGAGCCTGAGCACGATCATGTGGCATCCCAAGGAAAGCCATCCACCGCCTTTGAGACAGGGCCTGCTATTGGCTTGGAGCTCATCAATTAGACTGGCTATCAAGGCCCGGGGGCCTTTTTGTTCTTCTCCCCCAGCTCTAGGATTTTAAGGGTGCACCGTTGTACCCTACAATTTTACATGTGTTCTGGTGAGAAATCTTGTGTCTTCATCCTTGCTTTGCTGGTGGAACCATCCCTCTAGACTTCATTAGGTCTCTAGTGAAAAAAATTAGTGAGTGAATTGAGGAACAGACGAAGACGGACGCCGTGGACCGTGCTGTGCCATTACCTTGAAGCATGCAGTCATAGGCCTTCCTGTCCCTCCTCCCCAGGGCGTCCCAGAATCCCAGGGGCTCGGATCCTTCATCACACTCATGTATTGTCACGTTGCTGCTGCTGTGCAAGCCTGCTTCCAGGGGACATCTGCAAGGGAGACAGGCCGGGAGGTTTGCATAGGCCTGGGCAGTGCCCGGAGCACAAAATCACTGGAGACCAAACCCACAAGCCACTTCGCTCCCTCTACCTAACAGCAATTCTCACTGATGAATGAAAAAATATCCCGTAAAAATTCTATCAGGTTTGTGCTGGAAGGAGGGCCAGTTTGCTCCGGGGAAGAATGTGCAGATATACGTAATATGTCACGAAGACGACAATGCAAATGTTTGTCTTTAACACAGCATTTTCCTGTTTACTGTCCTCTCCTGCAGGAACTTCATTAGGACGAAGAGGAGTTTATTTCACTGCTGACCGCCTGGTCCCTTGTTTGGCACCATGTAGGTGCTTAGGAAGCATTTGCCAAATAAATACGTGAATGAATTTGTCATCATTTGGCTTTGTTCTGAGTGGCCCAAGTGAAAAGCGTCTTGGGGCATGCATGCTACTGGATCCCTCACGCCACCTCTTTTGAACTCCTGCACCTCCACTGCCCACAGGAGGATGTTCTGAGAGTCTGGTTTCACCCGTCTGCCTGCTGGAAGGTTGCTTGTTTTTCTTCCCTCTGCCTTTACTAGCCAGCACCGACCTTAGAGGAGCTGGGAGGACGGCAGATCTCATTGTCCCATTTCAGGGCCCGCAGAACTGACCCTTAGGCCCTTTGTGGTGGATCACTCCAGTTTTAGGAAAGAACTCAACTGTTCTTGAGGAATTGAGACCACCCAGGCTGCTGGTGAGAGCAGAGACACAGTGGCAAGCCTCCTCTGGCTATGTTCTTCCTCCTGAGGACCTTACCCATCAAGAAGCCCCCAGAAGAGAATGGGCTGGTCCTCTTTACCAGAGGAGGCTGTAAGCTGAACACTCCAGAGCAAGTGGCACTTATGGGTAGAAGCCAAATTGTGACTCTGCTTGTTGGGGACATCTGCCTTGCTGATGTTTTTTGTCTGTTTCAGATGAGATCTCACTAGATAACCCAGACTGGCCCTGAACTCTTAGACTAGCCTGTCCCTCCTGCCTGTGCCTTCTAGAACACAGTGGGTGGCTCATGGTTGCCTTTTATGAAAGCAGGTGTGGCCTTAGAAAGCTGGAAAAGCCTGCAAATTGGAGGTTTCTGTGGAGATGCATGCCCCCTGGACTTATGTCAGAGGGCTGGCTGTAGTTCCCAAAGTCCCTTGCTGGAGTCACTTGAAGCATATGGGACGTCCCTTGTTGCCTTAGCCTGGCTGCATCTCTCTAGGAATCCCTTCAGTGCAGAGCTGGCCGGAGGAGCAATACTCACTGTTCCTTGATTTTATTGGCCGCAGTCCTCCCAACCTCCTTCGTGTGGCCCTGAGCTTTGCATCCATGCCACAGGTAAATGAGGGCCTTGTTTATGTTCAGAACCACCATGGAAGTCCTGGACCTGAGGCTGCTGCCGTGACAGGCCACCTCCAGCAAGTTCCCTTCCATGGGCACCTCTCCCCGCACACAGTACAGTCTCCATTCACCTGCAGGGGACAGCAGCGGCACAGGGCTATGAGGAGTCAGGCACAGGGAGAGTGGCCCTTTGGGCTCCCTGTGTGCTGTCAAAACACACGTTGTAGGGACGCAGGACCTGTGGCTGAAGATGTGCTGAGCAAGGACAGCAGGAGGTCTTCCGGAGTTATAGACAGGTTGCCAAAAGTTCAGTTCACAAAGCAGAAAAAATAAAAACCTTTCCAAGATTTACATAAAATACTAAAACTCTAAAGAGTTTTTTTTAAAAAGAGTTCACTATGCAGGGTGGGGGTCCCCACAAGGCAGTACTAGTTCAGTGAGAAAGACACAGATGTATGAGACCAGACTTACTTTAAGGTTTTAATTTTTTAAAAAAATTTTAATTGTGTGTGTGTGTGTGTGTGTGTGTGTGTGTGTGTGTACTCATAAGTGCAGTACTTGTGGATGCCAGAAGGGGGCATCAGATCTCCCTGGAACTGGAGTTACAGAAGGCTGTGAACTGCTTGATTACTGTAGGTGCTGGGAACCTAATGTGGGTCCTCTGCAAGAGCAGTATGTATCCTTAACTACTGAACCATCTCTCCAGCCCTGAGACATCCTTTAAAACCCTCCTATCAAAGCACCTTCAGGGAGAAGAGACAAAAACTGAATTCGAACACCAAAAGTCACTTACTCTGCACATTTTCTTCTTCCTCTTCCCTCCGTCCAGAGTGCACCACCATACCTCCCTGGAAACACTGGAGGAAGCAGGGGGGCTCCTTTCCCTGCAGAACCTGGACCTTCAAATTTAAACATGGAAAACAGATCAGAGAAGGGGCCGCCAAGGTCATGGGAACAAGACTTGCCTGGTTCAGGGACTCTGGAGCACAGGACACACAGAAGTCACCATCCCCATGGCCATCTGCAGGCAAGCAGTATTAAAAGTGTAATGCACAGGCTTTCTTTCAAAGTGTTCTCAAGTATGTTTTTTTTTTTTTTTTCGGTAATTTGCAAACAGGAATGTTATCTCTGGTGCCTCACGCATCCACTTTCCTCACTCACTGCTTTTCTGTCATAGACTATTCTTCAGAGACATGAACTTTGGCATTTTCATGGTATTTTATGTAGGACTATGACATGACTGATTTAAATGTGTTTAACAAGGTCCACCTCTCAGTAATGATGAGGATGAGTCGCTGACTTAGTGAGTCTGGGGGATGCCCTCCTGTAGAAACAGTAGTGATTTACATCCTTAAATGCCACTCAGAGCCATGCCCTCAAGGCTCAGCTCTCCCAGGACACGCACTGGGAGGCTTTGGTAGCTAAGAGGTAGGTGGGGTCTAGTGGGAAGTCTTTAGGTCACTGGGCGTACATCCTTGAAGAGGGTTATGGGACCCCCTTCCTCTTCATCTCTTTTGCTTCCTGGAAATGAGCCAACTAGTTTCACTCTGACATGTGTTTCTACCATGACATGCTGCCCCTCACAAGCCCAAGGCCAACATGGCCAACCAACTATAGCAGGGAAGCCATGAACCAAAAGAAACACTTCTCTTTTGAAGTTAATCACTCCGGGTGTTTCTCACAATGATGGGAAGCCAACACTGTATCCTAATGGTCTCCTCTTGGGTGACAGGGCTCTCTCCCTGACTGCTCTGGTGTTCTCTCATCAGGAGGCAGTGACACCTCTTGCTCTCACTTTGGCAGACTCCATCCCTCACAGAAGGAATGTTCTTTGAGCCTGGGCATCCTGGGCATCTGGGTAGCCCAAAAGTAGAAGCATTTGTACCATGAGCTACTTTACCAAGCTCAGGTCTGCTTGGCACAGGCAAGGCCATTTTGTGGCAATGTTTCATGAGTCTGTGATGCTTTTCCATGTGTTGGATTGAAGAAATGAAACGCTCAAAGTAGAGAGATTAACCTCACACTCTAGGGGTGCTCTGAACACAGGGTTAACACATGTTCCTTCACAGGCAGCTGAAATCACCTACTGTTCGGAGTAAGTCACAATGCCATTGTTGCTAAGGTCTACTTTTGAAATGTGATCTATACTGGGAAACATTCATTCTGTCTTAAAATTATTTTTAGGGAACATAATGAGCTCTGAGAGTTGCAGGAAGCTGAGTGAGCATGGCTCTATTTCTAGAGAAAGTTTCTCTGCTCTCACCTTTCACGCCCCTGCCAATTAATCATTCATCCGAGATGGTAAAAATACTCGCCTGTAGTCTCATGCCAGCTCTAAATTAGCGGCACTAATGGATGCGACATTGGGCACAGGCCACTCAAACATGAAAAAGACGTGTTTGGGGCCATGTTAGGGATGAAGCTCGGTAGGTGTAAAGCACCTGCCTGGCACACACAGTGCCCTGAATTTGATCCCCAGTGCGGATGCCAGAAGACACTCCACCCCCCGCCCAAAACAAAACAAAAACCAGCTTATAAGTCTTAAAGTCCTTGTATTGGGGTGGTAGTGCCTGCCAGGTACAGTGTAGGCTCTGAGGTCACAAGCCTGAGGTCTCTGTTGGTCACTGGAAAAATAGTAATCAAAAAGAAAAAAAAATGGCGGCAGGTTTTAAGCTATGGGACACAGAAGCCATGGTAAAGGGAGAAGGGAGAGAGGTTCGCATAACAGAAGGTGACATGTGAGCGGAAACTTGGTTGTTCAGGGTCTCAGGCCCAAACTGTTCCCCAGCATGGCTGCTCCCACCCAAGGGAAGCCTGGGAAGACTTGCCAGCCTTGGACCTGTTCCCTTTGAAGAGGGAGGATGGCATGTCTTTATTGTGTGGGAAACTCCTGTTTTAGGGTTCGGAGGAGACCTTTCGGAACCCTGGATTCGCACCTGCATGCTTGTCATTGTGGACGAAGCTGCAAAGGGGTAGGATGGAGTATGGGGCAGGGTTTGGAGTCTGCAGAAGAACCAGGCCACAGGTGCTTCGGAGGATTCTGTCCTCAGGGGCCAGGTGTGCATCACCATGGGCCTTGAGCAGTGGCTCCCCGGAGCTTACCTGGGCCCCCCTTTCTTCATCCAGCTCCACCGTCATCAGCGCTGATGTTCCCTTCTCACTCACGGTTGAGTGCCGGCCTTGCCAGAAGAAATAGACACATTTCTCTTTGCCGGCCACCCTCACCGGATGCTCTCCCTTTTGCCGGCTTCCCACTGCAGACACAATGGCAGAGGGTGAGGTGAGCGGGGACACCAGAGGGACAGCAAACAAACGCCTGGCGCTCTTCCCCAGAGTCCACGAGGGCCAGACGTTAATAAACACGTGTGATGGAACCACAAGGGGGTACCATCTTTTTCTCAGCTGACTGAAGCGTCTTCTGGGAACCCAAGGAGAAATGTATATCGTCCCAGGCAGAGGCAGATTCCCTCCGCCCCTAGTGTGTGAGCGGGAGATGTGGTGGTGGAGAGTAGGACCAGACTCACACGGACACACTCTTGCCTACATTCTACCACTCTGGGCATTGGTAGGAATGATGTTAGCAACCGCTACAGGAACTTCAAGAGCAAAGGAGAAAACACAGAGTCCTAATATGGAATGGTGGGGCCTGACCTCCCCCCTTTTCATGTCCCAGCTAGGAGGCGTGGGGTTTTGTGAGCGGAGGGCACATCTGTAACCTCAGGGCTGGCGTGCGTGGGGAATGGGAACGTCCTCTGCCCTGATGTGCTGTGCCGCCACAGGCTCAAAGCTGCACAGCTGGTCGTCATGAACTAGAACCTCCAATGCTGAGAGCTAAAATCAACCTTTTCTCTTTAAAACGCGGTTGTTCTAGGAATCTTATTACAGCAACAGAAAACTGACTTACAAAGGGCCAAGAAAGGGAGAATGTAGTTGCAGTTAACACAAATGTATTTAAAAATTAATACTAAAGCTGGGCAGGGAGTGCACACCTGTAGGGCCAATGCTGGTGTGTGTGGGGAACAGGCAGATCCTTGGGAGCTCCTTGGCCAGCCGGGGACCTTGTCTCAAAGAACGAGGCAGAGAGTGATTAAGAGCGATTGACTAAAATACACTCTCACACAGGCACACACATGTATGCCCATCAGCATAGACATACACTCACGGGAACATGTACATACATACATAGCCCCCAAGCATGTAAAATGCACACATATAATAGTTAAAATAAAAACAAATAATGATGACCAGGGGATTTTCAATGAGGTGTGATGTACATGCCTGGAGTCTGGGCTGCCAGAGGCTGAAGAGGAATGACTGTGGCCTGAGCCAGCCTGAGCTATCTAGCCAGACCCTGTCTCAAAACAACAAAACCAAAAAAGAGGTGGGTTAAGGAGTTCCCAGAGGGTCTGCATCACCTCATTTCCACTTTACTCTGATCCTGTTGATAAAATTACCATTATTTTGAGGTCTGAAGGTGAGAAGAAAGCTCACTTAAGTTATTAAGAGGTCGGGACATCATTGTCTGATTTAGGGCTTAGCAAAATACTCGCCTGTATTTAAAGTAAATGGCTTTATTAATTCATTTAAAGTAAATGGTTTTATTAATTCTTTAAACTATTTGCCAGAGCCTGGACTTCAGGGCCACCTACTATGGTTCTGAAATGGTTGTGTTTGCACAGTGCTGAGTGGGCAAAGTGTAACTGTGAACTATCCATGAATCATTTATTGATACCCATAGTTAATTTAGATAGCAGCAGCCTCTGTCCAATGGGATAGAAGGCCATTCTGTTTCCCAGGTTCCTGAAGAAGGCTATGTTAAAATCTATCATGACAGTTTATACACCCCTGGGACTTAGCCTTTAAATTCACTGTATAAATATAATTCATGTGTCAACAGGAAAATTCACCCTAACGTCCTAAAGCAGACATCAGTATATATGCCTAAAATACACTGTATTTCCTAAAACAGACATTTTGACTAATGTCCTTAGCAGTTTCTTCAGTATACCCAAACTTAGTCCTACACGGAATAACTTTATTATTAATATATTTGTTTTTAACTTAGTAATATGAATGTTTATTAGTAAGTGTACTAGACTATTGTCATCACAACCCAGATGCTAAGTTAAAGTGTTGATACATCACACTATTAGAGAACTTTGGAGAATAGGTCTGTTTCTGGGATAAGGAGACAGCTCACTTAAAGGACCTGAGTTCCATCCACTAAGGAAAAGAAAAAAGCCCTGTATGGTGGTGTGCTCTGGTCAGGGGAAATGGAGACAGGTGGATCCTTGGGGCTTACTGGCCATCCAGGCTTGCCCACTTGGGGAGCCCTAGGCCGGTGAGGGACCGTGTCCCCAAAATCAAAATGGTGGATGGTGCTGAGGACAGCAGGTGAGGCCGCCCTCCAGCCTCCACGTGGCCTCTGGCACACACGGATATGCACACACACATGCATAAAAGAGCAATGTTGTTACTAAGTGCTTCTGTTTAGAAGTCACTGTCCCAAGGCTCCTAGGCAAGCCTTGGACCAGAATCCAACTTCCTGACCATCTCTAAAGCAGCCTGACACTGACTCTGGGGGCTCCACCCACAGAGCTTCACGACCTTCAGGGCACAGACCATGCTGCACCCTGCAAACAGTCACTGGGCAGGACACTGACCCCAGCAGGCTGGTGGAGCTGTTATTTGGCTGGTCAATGCTGCTGGAGCTGATGATGCTGCTGGGAGTGAGGACTATGATCACTGGGAAGACATACAGTATGGGGAGGGATGACCTGCCCACATCACCGTTTCCCAGGGGCCTCCAAGTTAACAGTCTGTGAAGGCTGTGGACACCGTCATATTGACTCACTACATTCATTCATTTATGATTGCTTCTGTCTCAAAACTAGCAGCCAGGTATGAAAATGACCAAATATATTACACTATCCCTTTGTTTTTATTGAACATGCAGCTTCCTTTCTACATTATGGATGTGTTTGTTCCCTGCAGTGACTCTTGATAATCATTATTTTGGTCAAGTTCATCAAGTCATTCCAAACTGCACAGTGATTTTTGCTGTTTCTGCTGAAAATTTCCCTAGGGGAATTTCCCAGGACCTACAATATGGGCAGGTGCCAGTCACCATGCTAACACATCATACACCCCTGCTTCAAATGTTTTCTGAGCCAGGCACTACTTTGCCAACATCCTAAGAGAGAAGGCCAGGGCTCAGGGAGGTTGAGCAGCTTTACCCAGCATGCATAGGTGCTAAGCAAGGTTCTGGGCTTCCCACTCCAGCTGTATGGTTCAGATACCTGTGGCCTCTTCTTCACTGAGGTGGCCTCTTTAAGAAAGGGACAGCACCTAAGATAGCTCTTAAGAAGAAAGGGACAAGAATCACCCCCTCAACCACCACACACACACACACACACACACACACACACACACACACACACACACACACACTGTATGAAAGCCTGGAAGGAGAGGCCAGCACTGTCAGACCTTGGAGACCCCATTTCCGCTTTCACTTGTTTAGGAGGCCCCAGAAGTCCCAGAGTATACTGGGGTCCAACCCTGAATCAGCCCTGCTGCACCCTACCCTATATCCCATACGCAGGTCAGATCCAACCCTGTCCCTACGGAGTAAACAGCACAATAGGGTCACATCTCAGTTGGCTCTAAGGAGGCCAGGTCAGCCTTTAGCCTGTGGCTTTGCTCTCTTCTGGCCATGGGACTCCAGGTGGCCCTGTTCTTCACCTCAGATATCAGGATAATAATAGCCACTGAGAGGGGCATGGGGGAGACCCCAACATCTCGCCTGGGGAGGTATCACGGGGAGCTCCACAGAATTTAACCTAGCACTGCCCACCCACCATACAACCCATGGACCCTCACGGGCCCCCTACCCAACAATCATTTGTTGGCCGCCCAGGTTTGCTTTCTCACTGATGGCAGGTCCGAGGTCACGGGAATCAGCTCCCCACACACCATGACATCCTGTTGCTCTCTCTACACTTGGTTTACTCTCATTCCGGCCACACACTTCCCGAGGGGCTGTTAAACAGCCCTTACAAAAGCAGCCCGCACTGGGTGGGCGGGTGGTCATGCAGAATTGCCGTTGGTAGCACACCGTCTTTCATACATCAGGGAAGAAATCAAAAGTTCTTGGCCAAGATCTGTGCTTGCCATGGTCCTGTGGTCACCTGTATCTAGGCTCCAGGGGGCTGGAGGAAGGCAGGAAACTGTCTTAGGGAGTGAATCTTGAAGTCACAGAGCTGTGATGTAAGCCTTCTAATTGAAGGACAGAGCACTGTGGACAATGATGATTACTCCTTGGCAAAGAAGAAGGATTAAGCTCCAAGTTCAGAGCCCCCGCCCCACTTCTGTGGTCTCTAGTACGAGGTGTCCAGTTGAATGCTGTGCTGCAGAGTATTTCACCAGCTGCAGCACAAAAGACTCCCGTGGACCATGCAGGCATACACCTATAATAACCTCAGGACCTAGGAGGCTGAGGCAGGAATATTGAGCCAGCCTGGGCTACAGAGTGGGATCCTGTCTTAAAAACCAAACCAAGCCAAGCCAACCCCGCCCCCCATCAAATCTCATAAATAAATAAAAAATTTAAAAATTATTCCAATTAATATTTATTATTGCAGATCCACAGAACAAAGTTAGTACTCCTAGGTTCAGAGGAGGGAGGGAGGGGGAGAGAGAAAGAGGGAGGAGGAGGAGGAGGAAAGAGAGAGAGAGAGAGAGAGAGAGAGAGAGAGACTATGTATGCCAAGAAGTCAGAAGTAGAGTCTGATGTCTCTGTCATTCTTCACCTTATTCTTAGAGACAGGTCTTTCTAACAGACTGGATGTACTGAGTGGCCAGCGAGCTCTGGGGAATCTGCCTGTTTCTGCCTCCCCAGTGCTGGGGATACAGTCACCATGCCCAGCTTTAATGTGGCATCCAAATTAAATTTGGATTTAAAAACTCAGATTCTCATACTTGTGTGGTAGGGACTTTACCCACTGAGCCATCTCCCCAGCTCCAAGAGCTGATTTTTATTGAGGATAAAACACAGAACCTTGAATATGCTAAGGAAAATGTTCTACCACTGAGCTACACCCCAGCATCTCTACTAAAAACAAAACAACAACAGCAACAAATCTTCCATTGTGCATTTACTACCAAGCTGAAGCACCATTGAGCTTCAGTTAAACCACTCTCCTGTGCTACGCTCAATGACTTCTTCAAACAGCACACAGGCCACACACATGACTAGACCATGGCAAATCATGACTTTTCCAGAAACCTTTTAAGGGCAGCGCAAGAGTGAAGAGCAGGCATGTGTCAGCATGTGTTTGTTTCCGG